AGAGCCGGTGGGGCCCCGGTGCTTGTGGTCACCACCGTCGGCTCCACGGCGAGTGCAGGAGCTGGAGGTGTTGGAGGTGTTGGAGGTGTTGGTGGCAGCAGCAGCAGCAGCCAGAGCCAGCAGGGTGCAGCGGAGCAGCAGACCCGACTGAGGACCACACCAGACTATATGGAGGTGCTGGAACGTTCCTACCAGTTCTAACACAGTTCCTCCCTTTTCTCCTTCCTCTACTCCTTTTACTCCCTCGTCTCCTGTCTCCTCATCACCACCACCATCATCGCCCTCCTGGGTGATGAATCATCCACTAACAATGACTCCTGTACAAAGGCTGGCATGACTTTCAGAGGAGCCTGTGGGGGAGCAGGACTACACTGCACACCATGTTTATTCCTGGATAACGAGCTGAGGTCGGTTTTTACCTTTTTTTTTTTTTTTTTTCCTTCCACTGCTGGTGTATAGGTTTGGCAAGGATTTGCTGATCCCAGATCTTAGCCTGAAGGCAGAAAACCCTCAACTGCAGCTACTACAGTATTATAAATGTATTTTTTTTTCCTTCGTTGGTCCAACTCCACCATTATGGAAGAAGTGAAGGCTCTGTGTTTCTACTCAGTGAGCACTAGACAATGTGCTGCCGGTGGGTGTTAATGTTCATGCTTTTACTCCTGAAAAACAAAGACCTGTGTGGAGATCTTTGGAGCATCAAACACCGAGTCACAGACTGTGACACTGGTGGGATAACGTGGAGCGAGAGACCAGAGAGGTCAGAGAGACGTCGATGAAGCGGTGAAGCAAAAGATTAATTACTGGGAAGATTTAAAAAAAAAAAAAAAAAAAGCCAAGTGCCTTAGCAATGAACAGCCAGCAGTGTGGTCAATGCTTATTTTTCTATGAATACAGATCTATTTATCTAAACAAAGAGGTTTGACTACCAACAGATGGGCCGAACAAATGATGGACGACTGAGACTACAGGAAGAACAAAACAAACAAAAAAAACAAAACAATCATTGCTGCCGCCGAGTAATTGCATTCCTTGGACGAGCCAAAAAAAAAAAAAAAAACAAGAATAACGATAGTAATGATGATGATCATATATCCAGTCAGTGTTGGAGTCCTTTGTACGCAGTTGAGTTCATTGTCATCTCATCCAGTTGAGTTCATTTGTTGGATTTTTTCTGTTATCTTTTATACAGAAATGGACAAAAAGGAACTTCGTCACAAACTGGTACCAATTTCAAAATAAGCTCCTGGAAATTCATATTTTTGTGAAAGCGAGACAAAAAAATTTAAAATATATGGAAGGCGGACGTACAGTACAGAAGGACACACGTGGCCATGGATGTTTTTGGATTTTCCTAATATCAGCTCGACACAGCCACGGGGACCTCTGACCTACCATGTTCTGTTTCAGGGGGAATGAGGCATCAAGGTTATTATTACTGTATTGATTTTTAAATATTTCTCAGAGGAAAAATTGAATGGCAAAAAGGACAAACAATACGTGGACATTGAAAAAAAAAACATTTGGTTTTTTTTTTTTGTTTTGGTTTTTTTGGTCGAAAAACTAAACGACAGAGACAGAAACCTTGAATCCACTTATCGATTATCTTTTGCGGAGGTACCTTTTTATGCTTTTATCTCCTGACGATAGTAGAGGCAGTTGTGAATATATTTATTCTTAGTTTTTGCGTGTTGAAGCTCTCCTTGTAAGGGATCATGTTATATTAATGTATAGGATGATTCTGCATCTGGTTCAGCCTTCTTACCGCCGACCCCAAGAAATACAATAAAGGGTGCTACGTAAAAAAAAAAAGAAAAAAAAAAAGGAGAAACTCTGATCCATGACTGCCGTTAAATGTGACACACACACACACACACACACACACTAACTAACACATGCCGTGACCCCTATAAATGCACGCTCACTCTCTGTGTCTCCTTTGCCTTTAATGGTGCATAAAAGGAGCAGCATGACGTTCCGCTAAACCCGTGAGCTCGTCCACACGACGTGTTGCAGAGATCAGACGAGAGTTGAGTAAAGCCCAACGCCTGCAGGCTTCCTCACACACATCCTCAAACAGACTGAGGGGAGGAGAGAGGAGCTAATAGTATGAAATCTACCACATTAATGCTTTAAAATCAATATGCTCTATCTGGAAGATGAGGACATAGAAGGAAGCCGGCCCCCAGAGGCCAAGGTCGTGAGTGGCTCCATGTCTTTTACCAGCTGGCTGTCTTTCTGAAGGATTTTTTCCCCTCCTTGTTCTTCCTCACTCCTTTCATTTCTGCGACTGATTTCTCCTCATTTCTACCAAAGGCCAAGCACCGACACGCTCCATGGACAGTTTAGTGCAAAAACCTCACAACAAAGAACATTTACTGATATATATTTTTGAAGTGTATGATGTGTATGAAAAGCTGAAACGTTATGGACCGTACCCCTGAGGGCCAACAGTGGTACTGCACTAAGACCTGCATTTCCAGGTGTTTGCAGAAGATAAATATCTTTGTGAGAGAGTAAAAAAAAAAAAACAATGTCCTGACCCGACAACAACCAAAAAACACTGTGGTAGTTTTGGAAAAGAGAATTCAAACTAATGCACAAATTAATCAATTTTTATTCAGATTAATTACAGGGTAACTGTGGATTAATTACAATTTAGCATGATTGATTAGGACCATAATTAATCATGAATAATAAACAGCAGGTAGAGGTTTGGATTCAGACCTGTTTTTTATTTGTGACTAATCCAAATGAAATTATTAATGAGGAAAAATACAAATACAAAATTATAATTCCAAATTTTGACTCTGTTTCCTGGAGGTCAAATGTCATTGCTTAAAAACACCTGATTGCAGATGGACAGTGGGGGGCATTTGTTGTAGTGGATATCGGTTTTGCATTAAACAGTGAATTCTCCACAGTGAGTAGAAATATATTCATCCTCCTATGTGTGCTATATAAGGGCCCGTTGTCATATCCTCCCATGTGGCCCAGAATTCCTGGCAGCGCCCCCTGTGTGGGAATATGAATCTCTCTGATTCCTACAAATCTGCCGTTTTTAATTGGATGAAGAAGAAAAAGTTAGAAACCAGTGTAACGTCACCTCTTTGGGTCGAACGAAGGAAACATTCAAACTGAAAACTCCTTTTCATTTCTCCACAAACGTCGGTTCTCGGACAGAAAAGACTTCACACCTGAACCCTCACACACAGCTTCTCATTGGCTGCGGTGAACTTCAACAACATCCTTTTGCCGTTCATCAAATTGACTTTGAACTCAGTCATTGTTGTTTTTCAGGTCATTATAAGTGACAGGTTGTTTTCTTATTCATCAAGAGTCGGTGACGATCCAAACATCAAACGTTTGACCCCACCACAGACGTGTAGAGGTCAAATTACACATCAATAATTTGACCTTGTCATAAAGTCACACCTACAAAATGTACTGGACCTGCAGCCCATCAATGGAATGAACACAACCGTCCAATGATTGTATCAGTTGGAGGACAGAGCTGTCAGGTGACTTCTTCTGATGCTGACCACGAGAAGAAAACACAGACAGGAAGTTCCTTCTTCTTAATACATTGTAAAATGCTGTCAGGTCGAGCCATGGCCTGAACTCTACAACTTTCAGAGTCAAAAACATCTGGTCCGTGCTGCCTTATTTCCTCCATCTTCTCTGCCCTCCTCCCTCCTCCCTCCTCCCTCCTTCTTCTTCTTCTTCTTCTTCTGTTTATCTCCTCTCTCCTCCCTCCTCCCTCCTCCCTCCTCCCTCCTCCCTCCTCCTTCTTCTTCTTCTTCTGTTTATCTCCTCTCTCCTGCGTCATCTTTCCTGCCGTGCCCTAACATGACTCCGACTGTCAGCTCAGTCTCGAACGACGGACACAGAGAAATTGTGTTTTAAATGCAGCTCAACACGCAGGTAGCTCACACTGAGGTGTGTCTGTGTGTGTGTGTGTGTGTGTGTGTGTGTGTGTCTCCCTGGCATGCTGTCTGCATCCTTCGGTGATGAGTGCACTCCTTCAGATGCCTCCTCAGTCTCACTGTTCAGAACTGGGTTCCACAGATAATCCCCCTGTGAGTGCATTTGTGCATACACACAGGACTGAGGGAGTGTGTGTGTGTGTGTGTGTGTGTGTGTGTGAAGTCATAGAGGTGTGCCTTTGTTTTGAGCAAGTATGCGTGTGAGGCAGCTCTGTGTTCGTGTGGCTGGATGCCCAGTGTATGTGTGTTGGTGTGTGTCACGGAGGGAGGGAGTGAGTGTGTGTGTGTGTGTGTGAGTGTGTGTGTGGTACCACAGGCCTGGGTCCAGCACTAATCCCCTAAGCTGTGTAGTTCACTCATGCCACATCAGCCCCATTGTGTCTGCAGACAAAGAAGAGCAGTCAAAACTAAAAGCCAGTTAAAGCAACAAACATCTAATTACGCCGTCGTTCTCTCCAGGTTTGAACGCGCTCTTCTCTCCTTCAGGAACAGTTTCACCAACGCAAGAAATCACACACAGCATTTCCAGGAGAGTTGGTGGATTTCATGACCTGGAAATTTGGTAATTAACCAAATGTTTCAGTAAAAAAAAAAACAACATTGAAATGACATCCTTTGAGCCAGATCTGGACCGCAGGCCGGCCAGTCCAGTTCAGACTGATGGAGTTTTTACAACGTCTTTACAAACAGTCAGATCCTCCTGCCGTCACACCGTCACACACACGCTGACCATACCACATGCGTCCACTGCTCCCTCTCCTGGTCACCAAGTATGGACCAAGAAGTTCTGGGTTTGTGTTGCAGCAGCAGACTGTGGTGGATTTCCAAACTGGCAGTTTCTAATACAACTCAGCCCAGAGGCGTTCAGCAGCTGTTAGGTCTGGACCAGGGCTGTCAGACGAATGGAGTTCTAATCTGATTCATTACTGGGTATCTGTGGATTAACCACAATTAATCAGGATTTATCAAGATGAATCAACATTCCTAATTAAGAAGAATCACATTTAGTTGTTGTCGCTACGTTCATTTATTGTAATTCTAAGAAACGTCGATCGCTAGCCGGGCATATAACCTGAAGATGAAGCCTTCACGGACACACGAGGGAGGTGGAGGGGTTGATTTGGAAAAATAAAATCTTCAGTAGTATAAATGACACAGTGTTGATTCAACTGTGTATTAGAGCAACAATATTTGGATTTATATACAGCAGTAAGTTAAATATTTATAGTAATTCTTCCCTGAGAGATCAAGCCTGTGGTTGATGCTCCTTTGATACCTTGTTAACCTGCTACTTCAAGAACCTCCGGACAAGAACCCAACTTCTCAGGAGTGACACAGATTCCAAGATTAAGTTCTAATGTTCACCAAACACGTTCGCCGATGACAAAACGATCTATTGTTTTCTTCTTTTCTCGTTGTTTTTTTTTTCTTGAGTCCTGTACAAAGTTTTATGGAAACAGGTTTGTTAGTCCAGTTCCCTGTGTGTGAGTGTGTGTGTGTGTGTGTGTGTAAGAGTGTTTATGCACTTGTTTTGCCCTTCATACCACCATAAGAGTCTATGTACGAGCCTGTGTTTGTGTGTTTGACTATCTGACAGCTTCTCCACGGTTCACGTGTTCGGGTCCTGTCAGAGCCGTCCTGTCACTGCACGACAACAAAAAAAAAAATAAAAAAAAAATCATTCATGTGTAAAAATCGAGGATGAAAGAGTCTTTAGACTTCAAAAGCCTGTGGGCCTCAGAGGCTTAGATTGCCTCACACCCTTCCTCCACCACTGTGTCATTTATTTATTTCCTACCATAAAAAAAAAGAAAAGCAAAGGAAAACATAGCTGCTGAGGCATCGGTTAAGTAGAGATGGCAGAAACACGGCCAGGAACTGGACAATTAGCCTGATTAAAACATTGTCGCCTCGCATAATGGGTTTAGGCTGAGCTGCGATGGGCAGATTTTCAGCCCGTTTGTGTTCCTGTGTGTGTGTGTGTGTGTGTGTAAAAAGGCGTGAAAGCATATTCTTCTCTGCATAAACATGCTTGGTATTAAAAAAAAAAAAAAAAAGGAAATGCAGAGTTGGCCACAGTTTGCTGTCAGTGAAAAGAGATCTATTTAAAAGTCACGGTGCATAGCTGCAGACGCTTTGGTGTTTGGGCATGACAAATAGTGGTGCTGGTGTTGGGGCTGCTCATTGCACACACACACACACACACACACACACACACACACATATATGCACATGCAAACACATTGACACCATTGTGTCGATGCTGCAGATGTGGTCGTGCAAACAGAAAAGGCAGCAGCCAGTCAATAACTGGGCTTAAATATGTACACAATCTGTACATACAAACGCAACACACAAATATGGAACCTGTGTGTGCGTGTGCGTGTGTGTGTGTGTGTGTGTGTGTGCTGCAGCGCTGGGATGTTGTTTGCTTGTTCTGCATTGCAGTAATCGCTCCACTCTTCCTCTGCTCTCACCCAGAGACAATCACTGGTTCTCTCAATGGACAACATCAGCGAGGAAATACCTAGAGAGAGAGAGGGAGAGAGAGGGAGAGAGAGAGAGAGGAGAAAACAGAGGGAGAAAAAAAAGGGTGAAGGGAGGGAGAGGGCGAGGAGGATTCTGCAAGAAGCTGAGAAGGTTGTGAGGAAGGGTGGGAGGAAGGAGGGAGGACTGGGGGGGGGGGACTAAAAAGGACAGAGGGAGATTTGAGGATAGAAGAACAGAGATGAAAAGCCGAGGGGAAAGATCATCAGAAGGGTGTTCCCAGGCTTCAGGCTGCTGGAGGACTTGTTAATTTGGAGGCAGAGCGAGAAAGAGACAGAG